TTGTAATGTCTTTGGGTTTTGGTACTGGGGTAATGCTGGCCTCATAAAATGAGTTATGAAGTATTCCTTCTGCTTCTATCTTCTGAAAGATATTGTAGAGAATTGGTATAATTTCTTCAACAAATATTTGGTAGAATTCACCATTGAACCCACCTGGACCTCCTCTATGACTGGGTCCCCCTGGAGTTTTTAACTCTAAAACTTGTCCACAGATTTTCCTACCCAGGCACTGGTGGTTCCCGTGAAGGTTTCTGCTTAGGGGTTCTTGCTCTGGTGAATTGTGATTCTTTGCATTGGCTTGTTTCTCCCTGATTTGGGGGAAAGTAGTTTTTTTCCTCAGGTCTCACTTCTCTGAAAGATCTAAGAAGAGTTGTTGATTTCACTTTGTTCAGCTTTTTACTTTATTTAGGATAAAGTGACAATTTCCAAGCTCCTTACATGCCAGACCAGAAACCAGAATCTGGAGTTTCTTCTTGGAGTAATGAAAATGCTCTGGAATTAGATAGGGATGGTGGCTGAGCACCTCTGTGGAATACTCTGAAAACCACTGAATTGTATACTATTAAAAAGTGAATTTTACATTATGTCAAGTATATCTTAATCATAAGATAATATTAATAGAAAAGACTGGCCAGAAATCAAAATGACCCTCACAATTTTCATTCCTGATACCAAAACAAACAGAGCTTAGTCAATGCTATTTTTAAGAAAAGTAGCCCTGTAATAAAATATAGCTGTTTTAATTTTTAAAGGCTGTGCCAAAAAACACAGACTACAATATAATGCTGCTAGGTGACAGGGGAGTTGTGTGTGTCCATCAATTGCATTGTTTCAGTTTGATTTTTGGCTTGAAGGAAATAGCACTCACTCTTAGTTCTTTTTGTTCTCTCCTAGACAGGATTCAAGATTTAGAAGTCAGGTAGATAGCAATCCTTGTTCTAAAACTCTACTCAAAAATGGCAGTTCACAGCCTGTGAGCTAGAATATGGAACATGTAAGGTAAAATACTCCAGCCTCCAAAGAAGAAGGTTGATAGAAACTAGTCAGGTTTCAAAGCTCCAGCCACTTATTGGGAAAATGCTCCCAGAAGATGACTCAGGCATTGGCTGGGAAACTAGAAAAATTAGAGTTTGTGTGAACTGAAAGGTCAAAGGAAATAAAGACCTATGGGAAATGAAAAACAGCTTTACAGTGATAATCTTGGGTGGAACAAATTTGTGCCTCAATTCTGTGATTGTGCCAAACCACCATGATTAGGAGTTTGCCTTAGGCCTTATAGGATAGCCTTGAAAATATCTGTTTTTTTAATCTTTCTGGGATTATTTACAATTGGAGCAGACCTGGACTATAGATGGAGTTATGAATGCCTCCAGTAATGGGAAGATAAGAGAGGAAGAGGTTGGGGAATTCAGGCAGAGGTCGACATGGTGGAAAGATTTTCAGAGTATGCTGGTTAAAAACTTATTATCATATTAAGACTCTGGAACCAAACTACCTGGATTTGAATATGTGTTCTGTCATTTACTGAGTGACATTGGGCAAGTCAGTTTTCTTTTATGTGAAAGGAGAAAAACAATACTTTATATGGTAGTTTGTGACAAGTGATACATGATGGCTTTTATAAGAAATTTAAAAATTAATAGCAATGAAAAGAAACTCATTGTAGAATTATATAAGAGATATATATATATGTATGTGTTCATATCCACTCAATGTGTGCATGTGCACACACACACTTACACCCACGTATACTAATAAAATAATCATAAAATGAAAAAAATTCGAGAAATTTTATTAATTTGCCCAGGTAAGTCATGCTGTCATTCTTCCCAGCTCAGACACTTAAGTCCAACATGTCGTTTGATGGGCCATGGAGATAAAGAATATATGGAGACTATGAAAAAACTCAAGTCTTACTGAGAAACCGCCTTAATTCCAGCATAATCCTTGACTGCTGAGGAAAGCAACCCTGATTGTGAGAAAACATCTAGCAGGGCCCATGAACTCTGAATTGCAATGACGGCACAAGGCCAGACATTCCTGAACCCCAGCCTAAATCTGCCTCTTTCCACCACTTTTACTGTGTGTGAATATTTTCATTGTCAAAATAACTAAATTATTTGGCTATCAAATTTTGAAATTACAGTATAATGTATATTTATATTTCCTTGGGAATTTGTGGAATAAAATAAATTACAGTATAATATATATTTATATATTCTCAGGAATTTGTAAAAATAAAGAGGGATGAGAATATCCAGTTAACAGCAAAGAAATAAAAGTAATGTGAATAATTAAATTCTATTTTAAGCTGAATTCTCTAATTCAGAAGGGGTATTATGGATACATATAATGTCCATTTTCTCTCAACTCCTCTACTTCATTCCATCCCTTTCTGCAGCTAAAATCGGAAAGAAGGTGAATGGTATTGTTATGCCTTAATGTTGCAACTTGTAAAGAGAGGAAAAAAAATATTTTCTAAAACTGTACCCTACGTACAGTTCAGTGATTAGTTTAGTGGTTGATTCTGTCTCCACTTCTTAGTGCAGGGCTCATACAAATATTTCAACTTGAGCTTCACTTTCCTCTTCCGTGAAGTGGCAATAATACTAGTCACTATGTACTTAAGTACTTGACATAGTACTTGGCACATACTAAGCTTAAAAATTCTAGCTATTACCAATTTATTCCAAATTCATAGAAACTACATTTTAATTATACACTTCTATGAAACTATTAGTTGATTTTTGCTCTTGGGTTTAATAAATCCAATGGGCCAGGCATGGTGGCTCATGCCCGTAATCCTAGCACTCTGGGAGGCCAAGGCAGAGGATTGCTTGAGCTCAGGAGTTCAAGACCAGCCTGAGCAAGAGCAAGATCCCGCCTCTACCAAAAATAGAAAAAAAAAATTAGCCGTCCGTAGTGGCATGTTCCTGTAGTCCCAGCTACTGAGTGTTGGGGGGCTGAGGAAAGAGGATAACTTGAGCCCAGGTGTTTGAGGTTACAGTGAAGACCACCCCACACACCGCACTCTACCAGGGGTGACCAGCAAGACCCTGTCTCAAATAAATAAATAAGTAAACCCAATGGTTCCATAGTTCATGAGTAATATGGCCATTTATTTCTTCTTGAACTCCAATGCATTTGTTGCTGACCCTCGACTTTACAATAGCTCACCAACATATTTGGATAAAAAGAAGAATTGGATATTCAGTTCATTACTTATGTGACATTAAGGAATCAGCAGCCTACACAGCTGAATGGTAATTCTAGAAATGGTCTTCTCAGCAAATGTGCTGATGAAGAGGCACCTACATATTAAGACTGCTCCCAAATAGCAATTTGTTTCCATAGTACCTAAGTAGAAAAAGACAGAATTTCCCAGTTGTTCCCCAAAGCAAAAAATATCAAATAGTTAAGAATTTCAGGTTTGGGTAAGGAAAAATGATATTAAACATTAAAAGTTGGTTTTAAAATAGTTTTTCTTTATTCAGTTAACTAAAGGACATTCTTTGACTATAATTTGATTCATGTTAACATTCAATGTTAAAAGTTTTATATTTATTTGACTTACAAGATTGCTGATGCAAGTTCCTGAAATCCAAAATGTCATTTTTGCTTAGTTTAGGGGTGAAAATATTATAATAAAAGAAAAAAACACCTTCTTAATAAAGATTAACTTAGGGAAAGAGTCCAAGAAAACTTTATCATGTGAATTCTGTATGATTATAAATGAGAAGGAAGGAAATTAGGTCATTATTTATTCATTCTGTTTTAGAAATTGTTTTGCAAAACTTCTAAATACTTGGCATTGTGCTTATGTGTGAGACTGTCATGTGAGACAGTTATTGCCTTCAAGAAGCTTACAATCTAGCAAGGGAAAGAAACTGAGCCATCTATGGTTGTACCACAAGGTAGAAAATGTTTCATTAGCAGGTACATACAGGATGCCGTGGGAACGTTATGGGAGGGGAGTCATGGGACAAGAAAAAGCTGAAGAGAGAGACAAAAAAGACTCCTCAGAAAAAGCAAAAACAATTTTAATTTTAATAAAGTATCTGCTCTTCTGAAATCAAACACATTTAATACTTTGTATAATACACTGAAGGTATGTCTCGTTCTTTAAAATACCATTTCTCCAAATGATTCTGAGGCTTACTCATGATTACAAGATACATTAAGTTAGGCATAGTAACATGACACAGCTATTCCGTACTCTATACAGTATGTTATTAAAAGGGCACAAGTCACACAGATTATACAAGTTAACATGGGCTAGATGAAGTGTTCTCAGTTTTTAGTTTTTTCTTGCTAACTGAAGTGAGCATTCTTTTAACACTGTACCTTGGTGTCATCTGCTCTGAAAGACAGACACTGAAAGTTAAAAATGAATTACTATATAGGCACTGCTGTATGGAAAACACAGTGTGTGTTTCTATATACTATAAGCTGGAAACGCCTTTTGAGTTACATGTTTATGCCAGAAAGCTGGACAAACACTGAACAATCTGTAAAGAATGGAAAAATCTCTTGACCACCAATTCAAATGAATATAATTCAACTATTCGCCACAATACTAATTTACTTATTAAATTAATGACTCTGGGATGCTTTGGTTGTTAGGTAGCAAAATAGTTTTGAAGTTAGAGAACTTTCTTTCTTAAGTCTTGTGGGTGGCCCAATTCCTCATGATATTCACAGCTGAGAAACATTATTTATGCATGTTTACCTTAATTTAAGTGATAATCAATTCAATGATGAGCAAAGTAAATCCTCTCTTAAAACTAAAAAAAAAAAAAAGTAAATCATTTTTGAATGTCCTTTGGCTCCATATCCTGATTCTGAAAGCTGCTTTTGCATACTGCCACCTTTATAACAGACTAAAATGATGCCTATCATAAAATGGGGATGGCCCAATCTATTGATAATCTAATCTAATAAGGATGGTCCAATCTAATGAGAGTATCAGGTGGCTAGTGCTTCTGAAGTCATTTAATAACAATTCTTTAAAGACATTTCATTCCAATAAATATGGTATAAAAGTCTTTATAAGTTCACGAAAAGCACTTCAAGGATGTCTAGTCAAAACCATTGCCAGAAGATTCCAAAACTCACACCTTTTTGTTCCAAATGCAATTATTACACCTATAACAAAAGCAGTATACAGCAAGGCAAGAAAATCTTGATCTTTCTCAAATGCTTTCAACCCCATTCCTTGGGAGAATAGGTAATGAAAGTATGTTGCAGACTGTGCTTATTTTTAAACAGATGTCTTCTGGGACCATACTCTACAAACGGTTTCAGATTTTTTCATTATCATCATTGTTGATTTTTTTAAATGCGACTGGGCTTGCTTGCTTCAAAGAAGTCTTAGAAACATCCGTGTGCATGGTGGACATGGCTATTGTCTCATAGTCATCATCCCGAGACCGGAAATCACAAAAGTTAAAGAAAAACTGCAAGTCTCTCTGGAAGTTTTTGTTTAGGAATCCATAAAATATGGGGTTTACACAGGTGGATATCATTGCTGTGAGGTGGCAGAGCAGGAATAACAAATTGTGGTTGCACGTAGCAATTATCTGATGGTTCCAGTCAAATACAGTGTTAAAGATGGTTAGAGGCAGCCAGCACACGGCAAATGCGACCACGATGGAGAGCAGCATGATGTTGATTCTTTTGGTTTCACTAGACCTGTACTTATTGTCTCTCATCTTGTCCATCATATTGTTTCTCCTTTTTAAGCGTATATATATCTATGGAGGGAAAAAAAATAAATGAGTTCAAATGGAACCACTCAATTAATGAGGAACTCTGTGGAAAGGAGGTAAAATAGAAATGGTAGGGGAAAGAAGTTTTCTTACCTTGAAATAACAAATAAATATAAAACAGAGTGGACCAAAATACTGCAGCACCAAGAGGAGAGTGGTGTAAGATAACCTATGAGAGTCCGACGGAAACCTATCAAAGCACACGTACTTGTCCTTGAATGCATCGAGAGTTACATTCTGGAACGGCTCATCAGTCAGTACTTGGTAGATCAGGAAAGGCAGAGAAGAAGCCACAGCAAGGACCCAAATCACACCGATACCTGCGTAAGCGTGTCTGTTATTTGGCCGCCACCCTCGTGGGTTGATTATCAGCTGATGTCGTTCCACAGCAATGAGGACCAGAGAGAAAATGGACACGGTGATTGAAACACATTGCACAAAAGGATTCAACTTGCACATTGCCTCACCAAAGACCCAGTGGTCCATTAATGTGTAGACAAATGTGAAGGGGAGACACATGATGGCAACAAGCAAGTCTGAGAAGGAAAGGTTCACAATCAGGATGTTGGTGACATTTCTCATCTCCTTTTGTTTCAAGATGATTATGATCAAGGCCAGGTTTCCAGAGACCCCAAGAATGATCACAGCTCCATAAGCAAGAGCTAATGTAAATATCATGGCCAAGGGCAGATGACAATCATCATTTTCAAAAGCCAAAAACTGGGAATTCTTCTCTGAAAAATTATAGTGGACTGAATGATTTTCAATCTGGGAAAATAATGTTGAATTCATTTTGATTGATTTGGTTGTTATAGATTATTTTAGAGAAATGGACAGTATATTTCTTCAAAGCAGGTCAACGGTTCAGCTTATTCTTATTCCCCATATTGGAATCCATTTACCAAAATTATTCTGAATTCTTCATTCCCTTGAACTGAACAATCTGTGAAGAGAAAATGACCAATTGCATTACTAATTTTATCGAGGGCAGTCAAAATGAATTCTGACTCATAGAATTCTTTAAAGTGAAAACACTGAAATAAACAAAATGTGATCTCATAAACATCTTTCTAAAATAGCAGAAAAGTGCAAATATTCTGAATAAAGAAAATTCCTGTAAAATTTTTAATTGGACTTGCTTACACATTGAGTTTTAGAAGAACATAGTAAGGAATATGTAAATCTCATGCCCCAAGTCTTACATAAACAGTACTACCAGCACATTCCTAAACATTTGTAAGAATGTGAATGTATAACAAACCACTTAAGACACATATTAAAACATAAGAAAATGTATGAAAGAAACAAAGCAAAACAAAAAAACCTAATTCTTACTTATACTACAGAAATGGAAGAATTAGTGTAGAGGTCAAGCTGCAGTGATAGCTCCACTGTGCACTGGACTTTTTAAGGCAGACACCCAGCACAAGCATATTCAAAGGGAGATGATCAACACAGTGAATCACCAAAAAATCTTTGCCATACGATGGACTGCTGAAAGATCAGACAACATTTAATTAAAAAAATACTTAGTATAGATGGTATAGATGTCTTCCTATATCTTAATCAGTAGCATGTAGAATGTAGAGTACTAGGCTTAGAATCTACTTTGTCTAACTATATGAACAAGTTAGAAGTAGGACCAAGGGGTGCACATTATTTTTTTTAATCACATTATTATGAGAAGCAAAAGTTTAATCAAGTGGAATGAACTACCTGCAAATCTAGCAAGTGCTCCATTCAAAAAAGTTTGTAACCACTATATGAAAGACCACTTCAGGGAGTTCTTACATTGTGCAGAAGATTCTAACTTTAAGATTCCTTGGTTTTATTAATATGTCAGAAACTTTCAAAGGATTTCTAAGGTTTTATTCATGTAAATATCCTCCCTCCCCACCAGACTATATATGTATCCAATACAAGATTCTAAATTTTAGTTGTAATTTTGATTTTTCACAGAATTTTGTATTATAAATATTCTTCTCTTGCTAATAAGACAAATCACAGACAACAGACTTGTGGACATTAAAAAAAACTTTTTAAAAAATGTCTCTGATTTCCCTAGATTACTAAGTAAATGTATGAGATGAGATTTCTTATGTCGTGCCTATGCTAAGAAACCGAATTGCATTTCTTTATTTCTTTTGTGAGAACAGTAAAAAAACAAACAAACAAACAAAAATCCATGCAGATTTACTTGCATTGAAAGGAAGATAATAAATTTAATGAACAAAAAAGTGCATTTGCCTTTTAAGTAATGGTTCTATGAACCTTTCCTTTAGCATTTTTGCTTTATAGAACATGGTATATTTTTTATTATGAAAATAGGATTTGGTTTCATAAAATTAAAAATGAATAAAAATGAAGGTTGCTATCATGAAGTCAGAATAAAGCATTAAGGAATTGGTGATGGGATGATTTCACGTGTGAATGTTATCAGAAACATGGCTTTCTCTCTCTGTGCAACAATCTGTAATGACTCCCTCATACTTATGTGATAATCACACGTTTTCTCTCAACAATTTCAAAGGCAGAGAGAATGATCAGTGACTGTCACTTAGGGTTTGAGAACAAATCTTGAAGAAGCAGGTAATAATCTAAAATTCTTTGGAAGTCTCTTTCTTAAGAATTCAAGAAAATTTAGCATCATACTTCATATTTAAGTTACTATAGAGATATTTAACATTACTTATCAGTTAATTATGAGTTTTTCTTCATTATTTAAAGCAAAACTAGCACAGCAGGCAAGTGTATCCTCTTTATCCTATGGCTCTCATGGTTCCCTGTCACCAGGTACCACCAGGTGAAGGATGATCCTCGTATGACACTCATGAGGGATGGACTACCGAGTACATTCCCCAGCCTGACTCTTGAAGACCTCTATATTAGTCCTGCCTTCCACTCTTTGCTCTAATAACTCCAACATGAATACTCTGTTCTAGGCAAGCCAGCCTATGACCACGCTACCAAATACAGCCCTCTGCATCTCCACCCCTGCCATTCCTCTTGCTGGGTGTTCTCTTTCTCTCACCACCAATCCAAATTCTACCCATCTTTCAAAGCACCATTTAGCCTTTCGAATTCTTAATTGGTACCTCTCAATTTTAATATAATGTCTTTAAGGTGGACATTGTGTAGACTTCACAGTACCTTGAAAAGATTAGATTTAAAATAAAAATGTGTTGACTGATATAGTAGATACATGGGTGGAATAGTAGGTTCTTATGTAAATTAGTCCTAACATCAATAGTTCAATTCTATCATAGTCCTTTTACCTGCAAAATGTATGCTAATCACAAGTATCATTCTATTAGGTCGGGTATAGAGTAGAAAATTTGTGTAAAAAAAGGAATTGTTTCTGAAAGAACATTCATTCATCCAACAAATATTTACTTAACACTTATTTTGTGTTAGGCATGATTTTACTGGAGAGAATATGACCTTTTCACTGAGTTTCTCATCCTAGAAAGATAAGAAAAAATAAATTAGTAAAAGCTATAGTATGCTAGATGATAATAAGGGTTATGGAGAAAAATAAAGTAGGGAAGAGGGACTGGGATTGTTGGGAGTTGCAATTTATTATAGGCTGGTGAAGGAAGACCTCTGGCTGCCTGGGAAGATGGCATGTGATTTAAGACCTGAGAGCAGTGAGTAGAGAAGCCACACAAGTATCTCAGGGATTGCCTCCCACAGGGAAAGAGCAAATATAAAAGCCCTAAGGCTGGACTGTGCCTGGTGTGCTAAATAGCAATGAGAAGTAGGATAAATAGGCAACAGACTAGTAGGAAATTCATTGGGAAGGCTACAGAGAGGGGAAATTCACTGCATAGGGCCCTGTTCTAATGGGACAATCTCTGCTTTTTACTCTGAGAGAGATGGGGAGTCGCTGGACAGTCTTTACTACTCAGCTGCTGTTTTCAACATGTTTAAAGGAAAGAGAAGAAGTAGAGATATTCATTAGGAGGCTAGTGCAATAATCGAGGTGAAAGATTATGGGGGCACAGACCAAGGTGTTTGCCGTGGAAAGGAAAAAGATAGAAATTTTATGTCCACTGAACGACTTTGGCAAAAATTGATAAACATAGGAATTCGTGCAAACACTTACTAAATTACTGCAATGTATGGGTTACAAAGACAGCTTTCTTGCAGATGAGTTTAGTTAAACATACTGAAACTCTACTCTGATACTTTTGAAATTATAGTTGATAGACATGCCCTATGAGGAATAGCATTTTGCCTATTAAGTAGAAGTTAACTTAGCTATACAGAAAAGACAAATTTTATTATTATTCCTAAGGCGTTTGCAAGTCCCTTTTGCTAACTGCACATTCAGTAGTCATTTCAGTTGAGTAAAACAGTTTTGCATTGGATAAAATGTGTATTTTCAGTTTACCTTAGTATAATTTCAAGAAATAACCGTCAGAAAATAACAGTACTAAGAGTTTACACACCTTATCTTTTCAAAAGAAAACAATTTGATACCTACCATTAACGTAGATATTTATAAAATAAACTATGCAACTATAGACACTATAAAAATTAAAAACTTAAATCTCTGTATAGCCTGTGATGTACATTTACAGCTAAAATAGAGACACTACAGAGACTACTCTTATCACCAGTTGGTAAATTAGCCTCCTTGCAGAAGGAAATTTCCTTTTCCTTCTTTCCCATTAGAATGTTTTAGCCTTTCACTGCTTGCTGTTCTCAGTGCAATTAGTACCTGAAAATACAGCTCTCTGGCTATAAACTGCTGCAGATAATTTTTTACGAATACTCAAGACTGGCTGTTCACCTCACTTGTTTTGGAAAATAAATGTCAGCCTTGTTACATACAGCCTTCCGAAGTTACTGCTAGATTATCTAAATGAGTTACATAATTCCCTGTTCCTTCCCACGGGGAGGGCTTGCTCAACAGACAGCTGCCTTAGACAATAAGGAAAGACTAATAAAGCATTAACTGCTGCGACGCATTCAGTCTTTAGTCAAGGGTGGGGAACTGAGCCAGATAGCTTTCTGCTTCTCTCTTGCTTCCTCCGGGAGCCAGCCTAGGGTCTTGGGGCTGACAGCTACTGTTTTTCTGTTTCAGTCCTAACAGAGACAAGCAAACTCTGCACTTCCTCGTCTGCGTGCGCCATCCTGCAAGCTATGCTTTCTCACAGCATCCAGGTGGGCATGACAAATCAGTGAGTGCTCCAGTGTGTGTGTGTGTGAGTGCGTGCGTGTGTATAGTGAAATGTCGAAACACACTCTCTTTTTCTCCCCTCCCCTAGACTTTTCCTGTGCTCAAGGACTTTACCAAAGAATGAAATGGGATGTGTTCAAATTCCTGCTGACACGCTTACCCACCCACCTTTTTCGTATTGTATAACTAGGTGAACTGCCGGAAATTTCCCCCATTCCTGACCCCGCTACTACACATACACACACACACACACACACACACACACACACACACACATACTCCTATCAGGGAACATCTCCACCTGTGATAAGAGATGACAAAACACATTCAAACCAACCAAAAACGAACAAGCAGAGCCCAAACCCAAAGTCAGTTTTCTCTCCTTGGCCCAACGTCGGACCTTAAAACATTCTCATCTCTCCAGTCTACCTGGGGACCAAAGGGACACCCTACTAAGCCACCTCCACCTCCTGTCCATCCCCAATCTCCAAACCCAGCTACGCACCATCATTACCGTTCTAAAAGAAGGAGCTAAAGAGTTCCATGACTGAAACTCCGAAAGAGAAAGGGCTCAGGGTGTCTACCAGGGCGCAGCGACAACCTGGAAGGGCCCAGCGCAGGGGGAGCGGGGCTCGCCCGCACCCGGATCCGCGGAACCCACAGGTGCGTGGGGTGGGGAGCGTGGCTGGGGTCCACGACCCCCGGGGCCCGCCCGCACCTCCTCCTGTTCCAGCCCCACACGTGCCGCGGGACCCGGCGGCAGCGGACGACTTGCCAAAGCCACCCTTCTCTGGCTCCTCCCAGCCGGTTACTCCGCGAAAACTCCAGTGCGTCCGCTGCTCCAGCCAGTTCCAGAAAAATGTGAAAGATGCGAGAGGTGAGGGTTAGACGAACAAGGGCACCTTCCCGACCCCTGATCCTTTATAAGCGAATCACAGGGGAGGAAAACTTGGATCCCCACCGGGAAATCCCCCAGGAACAGGGTGTGGGGAAGCGCGCACTCCGGGTAAGGTGCCCTCTCCCGGTACGACGTCGGCCCACAGCCTTTGCAGGGGTCCGGGAGGTGTCCGCACATTTGGAGCAACTCGCAACCTGCGCGCGCCGGGAACCGAACCCAAAGGCTGGCCGCGCGCCCCGCCTCCGCCCCCCAGAGCCAGTGCCGGGCGCTTGCATCCTTTTCCGCCCTCTCTCATCCTGCGCCTCATCAATGACAGATTTCTCGAAAGTCTCTGAAGAGGCATAAACTTGAAACTTACCCTCTTGAATTCGTCTTTTTCGCTCCGGTTTATTAAGGAGGGAAGGGTGGGAATGGAAAGGAGCAGAGAGGGGAAGCAAGACACGCCGTTATTTCTCCTGCTTAAATCCTAAAGATTGATGAAGCTAGGAAGAGACGCCCCCTTAAAGCCGAACTCCACCTCAGCCAGGGACCACGTGACGGCGCCCCGCGAGCAGCGCCTGCGGCTCCCCCGCCCCCCAACACCTCGCCAAGGTGTGCGCCTCTGGGAAGCGATGCCCAGCAAGGCTGCAGAGAAAAGCGATTAAACCGCGCATCTGCAGACACACACGCACCGTGCAGAGCAAAGAAGCGCTCGTCCCCCACGGTCCTCGACTGCGGGAAGGCGACGCGATCTTAGGCTTCGCAAAGTCGGTACCACTGGTTTTTCTTTGTTTGCAGGTCAGCGCCACCTTGTGGCCGCAGTTACACCCGGCGAAAAGCGCGAGCGTCAGCCCAACTGAGAGTGAAGGGCGGTCAGTTACCGGAAGGGAAAACATGAAATTCACCACAATGTCACTAATATGGTTTTTGCTTGCTTTTGTGACGCTCAAATATTTCTCAGGCCAGTGCCGAGAAGTTGTTTCCTCAGTTTCCTTTGTTTATAAATGAACAAAGAGAAGACCTTTAAAAAGTTAAAGTAGTGAATCTCAGAGAAGATAGTCTGGCCTTTTAGCTCTCCTTAATTTCCACGGAGAAAAAAATGCATTGAGTCAGATTTGTTCCCAGAGCCCGAGCTGCCTTTTAAGTCTTTTTAGGGGAGCACGATGAACGGAACATTTCCCTCGTAGTTGAAAAGGGTCAATGCAATTTCCTCAGTGCTTAATCTACTGAATATTATGAAGAAAAGAATAGAATGTACACAAAGTACACTTATGGTGGCAAAGCCATCATGGTGCCAGATGATTCAGGCTGATTACTGACACACTGATCTCAGGTGTTTTACATGCTTCTATTCTAGTTTGAAAAGTCAAAATTGTGTACACACACAAATGATTTACTGGTGCAGAAAATGAGAAATTCTTCCAAATCAAAATGTTGAAAAATAAAAAGATTTTCTATTAAAAATAGGGAGCACTGCCTAGGATATGCATAAAGGTTTCATTAGAAGACAATTCTGATCACATCCTGTCTTCAAACTGAAAACAAAATAATAGCCAGGAGCAGTGGCAGGTGCCTGTCGTTCCAGCTACTAGAGAGGCTGAGGCAAGAGGATCGCTTGAGCCCAGGGGTTCCAGATCAGCCTGGGTAACATAGTGAGATCCCATCTTAAAAAAAATTTAAAAACATTAAAAATCCAAGATATACAGTAACTGCCTTACACTGTTAAAAAAAAATGTGTTCTTTTTCTGATTGTTAGGCTGAATAAACATATTTAAAGCTCAATATAAGATCATTTATTTATATGGATAGTGATGTATACAATCTCTCTGGTTTTTTTCCAGAAAAAATTTCTAAAATATGTCACTAGACATTTTTTATATAGTTGGAAAATGATTATAATCAAGAATTAAAATATCACAATCAGGTAATAAATGCACTGTGAATGCATAATAGATACGAATATACATATAAAAATTCCACTATGGTTAAACAGAGTAAAATGACAGAACCTAACTGATATCATCCATATATATAAATATATTTATATTTTTTAACCAAAGTTGAAAATATAAGGCACAATTTAGGAATTTCAATTCTTTTAAAGAGCAATAATTCACACTCATTTAGGTTTCTAATCCTCCTCTGTCTACTCATTCCCTAGTTTACTCATTCACTAAGTCACATTCTGTTCTTAGGAGGAAGTTTCCCTCCATGGTTATGATCATCAAATTGGCTATTTTTAGCCTGCTGCAAGAATTACAATTGAAATAATTTCATTCTCTACTAAGAATATATTTTTATGTAAAAACATTTGTTATATCAGCAAATATTTTGGACTTGAGAATATAACTTAGACTCAGGTACTTTGCTTTCTGTATTTTCCAAGAATGTTAATAAAGGTACATCTACAAGGAGGCCTGAACTATTATGGCCATTATGTTTCATCATTTTATTAACTTGATTTTTATGAAGTGTTCCCCCTCAGGCAAATCTTTAAAGCTACGTTCTTGAGTTATTAATATCAAATACCACTCTTTGCAGGATCATTGGTCTCAAAGACTTTTTTCTGTGTCAAATTTTGGACATGGAGAAGTTTTGAAATGCTCAGTAGCAAAATTATATAATATTCTAGGAATATCATTTTCTAAGGATTCTTTTCAATGTGTAAACTAGAGAAATTAGGCATGGTGCAATGATCAAATACAACATAAGATCCTATTATTGATATAATGTGATCCTATGGGAGATTTGAGATAATCTGAATTCCTCAGAAAATATGTGTTAAAAAATTTTCTCATTTTCAAGATCATTTAGTTTTCTACTCTTAAGCGAACAATCAGTTGCATACTCTCTTATTTGGGATTCAAACTAGATAAAACCGCACCTTTGCTATGGAGAGAGAAATTTTTTGAACTGTGTATATTACTTTCTGAAGTTTAATAATCGACTGACCTATAAACCATGGAGAATTAAATTAATGACCTGTTCTTGTGTTCTCATAGGCAACAGACTTTGTCATTTAAACTGAGGAATAGGATCTACCCATTAAATCTTTGTAGATCTTAGTTTTATAGTCTAAAAAGTAGAACATCTTTATGGTCTTGCCCAGCCTTTAAATTCCATGATTCAATAATTGTCTAGATAAAAGTGTGTCACTATGCTTGCTGCTAGAATTTAAACACTGTAATTACTTCATTGGTTTCTTGATGAACTTCTGCTGTGAGGGTTAACGTTTCTGAAATGCCACTAGACCCCGACACAGGTAAATTATCATAAATTACCATTCAGAAGAATCTTGATAGGTATTAATGCTACATGTGAAAACTAAAATGTAGATGATATTCATAAGGGGAAAATTCCACAGGGGTAGAACTTACAATAAAGCACATTGATGAATCAGTTCATATTATACGAATTGATTGTTCAATTCATTTTTCCTTCTGTGACTCACCTACCACATTTTTTTTTTATCTAAGATGCCCAAGAATGTAAAGTGCAACATTATTTTATGGACTACCAAGAAAGAAAAAATGCTTTCAGTAAAATAATGGCAAACCATCAATTGTAAATGAATCTTAGAGTATTACAATGTTTTTTTTAAAAAAGTCCACACCTTAGAACCAATAAAATATAGTAGGTAAAGAGTTTTGACTAAATTAGTCAGTACAATCAAATAATCAACACAACCATTTTATTCAATTTTCTTTTGAGAGACTTAACTAGCAGAAAGATGTGACAATTAATTTAATTAAAATGTTAGTAAACAAGTACACAAACAATTCAGTTATCTCCCTTATGTAGAAGATGCCAGATACAATTTGTGGATTTGCTCGTGATTTGAAATGGGAATGCCCTTCAATAAAGTTCTCATTTGGTTGAATAGGCTACATATTTAAGGGCATTTTAAAAACCCTGTCAGAATAAGACTCTAGACAACTGGGATCTTAAAATTATTTAGTAAATATCCAAACATTTTTCTGCAGGACTCATATTGTCAGATACCCAGTAGGCATTCAACAAAAGTGTAATGTTACATTAAAAAATGTAACATGTTTATTACAAAGTATCATGAATATAGCTTTGCCATTGTCACTATTATTGTTTTTAATAATCATTATTACTATCCCTTCATGTCTCCTTTCAAACAGACAGGGTAGGAAGAGTGGGTGAGAAGGACAAGTATGAATGCCACCACTGGACCTTTCGTCATCTGTGACAAACATCTCTAACTGTTGTACACTTTGCCCTGAGCCCCACTCCCAGCAATCTCAGGCTGGGTATTAGATCCCTTCACAACACGGAATTTCAGGTAGTCAGTATCAACAGATCAAATTTGGCTTAGGATATAGAGCCAAGATAGTATAATTTTCCCCAAAGATAGGAGAAAGATTCCTTCTGTACATCTAAATAGCATCACAAACATGCACAGGCAGAGGTGGTATGAATTGTTCCCAAGTATCACTTTGCTATGGTAAGTGTCCTCTCTCTTCATTCCTTTGTTTAAGGTCTAGCCACTGCTTTTCTTTCCCAGATACAAATAGATCTAGAAGGAGGACAAATATCCGAGGATGGGCTATGGTATAAAATGACTCCCTTGAGCTCATGAGATTGCTTAGCTACCACTCTCCACTAGCATAGTATGTAGGTGAAAACTCAACTGTGCAGATTACTGCAACTACAAATTCAAAACATTAGTTGAGCCTTATATATTAACGCAGAAATTCTTGGGCTTGGGAGACTTCCAATTTCTCTCCGCTTAGAACCTATTTTGAAATTCCACTCCTTTCTCCCAGCCTCCTACCTCACACTCTCAGTCTCAGCGTATTCCTTTTTGAGATGAGAAAAGGCCATCCGGTATTTACTCCCTAATTTTCACGCCCCTCGTTTTGGCAGTGGATCTTCCAACCCAGCTGTTTCAACCCTGGGCTTTGAGTCAACCTAGCCCACTGAGTTTTCCCAGCTGAGGCCCTAAACACCATGGGACAGAGACAAGCCATCCCACTGTCCTCTTCCGAGGTACGGACCCACTCAATCCATGACCATAAAATCTATGAGTTGTTGTATTCCTTGAAGTGTGGGGGAGGTTTGTTACACAATAATAAAATAACTATCACTTTTCTTGGCTCATCACTAAAATAAAAACCAAAACAAAATTGCTCATCTCTTTCTCACAGTAACTCCCTTAACCGACTAACATCTTCTCTAGCTGCTCCTCTTTCCTGGCTACCTTCTCCTAATGAAGAATAAGTTACATTTACTGTCCTCTTATTTATTCCTCAAGTATGGCCCACCCAAAACTGCTTCTGCCCAGGACACCAATGACCACAGCCAGTGGACACAATTCAGACTCGATTATGTTAATATTTATTCTTTATATTGCTTTGCACTCTCTTGAACATCCACTCTTCTGGAATCTTTTTGTCCTTTGACGTCACTAACTCCACACTTCAGGCTTGTCTTCACTGGCTGCTCCTCAGCCAGCTTCCCCAAGATCTATTATCTTCATC